CTTCTGCAGCACTAGAGAATTAAGGAACATTTGGGATGAACAATATGGACAGTATCAACAGACTGTAATTTGGGATGAACAATATGGACACTATCATCAGCTGTAATGACTAAATGATCACAGCAAAACTTTCAGCTATATGAATTGGAAAAAATAAAGAGGAAAATTACTTTTCCTAGTGTTGAGTACAAATTTTAGCAAGCAGCTTTTATATTGATTGTATATACTCTCATGATGTATCAGAACTTAATTTTGAAGTTCACTATATTGCATGTATCCACTAAAAGAAAGCAGCAAGCTAAAACTGCTCTTCAAGATGAACCATTTTCTACAGTAACAACCATTCCCAATACATGTACACATAGAAAAGTGTGTCTGTAAATTAGCTGTAGATTGTGGAAACTTCTTCTCAGGCATCCTAACAGTCACTGGACAGGAGCAGAGCGCAAAGATACAAACAAACAGGCCTGGCCCTGAAGACTGAGATGTCTGGGGTAAAGAGAAAACACGGACACAAGGCAGTTGAATGCTCACTGCCCTCTAAACTCAAAGCCTTTGTCATCAAGTGTGGTAAAATGCATGAATAAAACCAAAATGGTGGTGATTCAGTAGAAGCGTAAGTGTGCAATACAGTCACTTGCAGTCAGGTATACATGTGTCACCATGTTTAACATCATTAGAACTGCAGGCCAAGAATCTACTGTGCTTCAGAGAGCGGAGTGGATGAAATACAGAGCCAGACAGAAAGCAACTCTCAGTTCACATGCACGCTGGGAACCTGTTTTCTTGTGCAGCCTGGAATGACTTCGACCATCACTGCTTGAACGCATGCTGCAGTTTACTGCATAAATGACTAGCTTGAAGCTCTGCATCCAAGCCTCCAAACATGATGGATTCCATCCATAACCTGCAATGATGACTTTTTATCTGCTCCCTCTATTCTACTTGCTGGTTCAGATACATCAGCAAGGAAATGAACAAGAAAGGTTCCTGTTACAAGCATCAGTTTTCTCATGAAGCTCAGCAAAAAGCATCTCCTCTGCTCAGCTACCTTTGTTACACAAGTGAGAAGGGGAGACAGTCCAGGAGAGAAAAAAAGAGAAAACCAAACCCCACCCAGCAACAAGAAGAAAGCCACACTCCTCTGGCTATCTGTAAAAAACAGCTAGAAATGTTACTGAGAGCACCTAATTTCCTTAAGAAAGTGGGGACATCTTACATTTTCTGCTGGAATAGCTTACTAAATGAGGTAGCTATGGTCACTATGAAGAGCTACCCAGGAATCAGAGCATCCCTGCCTTACAGAAAAGTTAGGAAAGCTTGCATTTCTATTATCTGTTCATACAAGAACAGAAAAATCCTTTTATGCTACACATGGTGCCAAAGTTTAAAGTCTTCATACGAAAATAGTATTGAAGAAATATCTATAAGTGAAACAATTTGGAGAAGTAGAACTGTAAGTTAATTAATTTGGGGAGGCTGATTTTGAGCAGAGAATTGCCATTAGACATTAACCTTCACTTCACAAAACTATGTGCCATATCTAGAGATTAACATTTGGCATTCCAGTTTCCTTCAGTTATTTCTGTGATGCCTTGAATTGCTTTCCAGGTATCCTGGGTTCAGCTCTCTGGGGAGTGGGGGGAGGGGAGTGAGCGAGGAGCTGCGTGGTTCTGAGTTACGGGCTGGGCTTAAACCACAACACCAGGTTCTTAAAAATGCGATGTTAACATAGCTAAAAAATAAAGACTGAATTAGCATGCCAGACACAGCCAGGTTCCCGAACAACTGGGCATACGAGTACATGAAGGGTTTGAAAAATATAAATTCTGTAGGCAAATTAGAAAACTTGTCCTAGCAAACAAAAGAACTACAAGTGATGGGTTTTTCTGGTCTTTCTGTGGGGTTTGATTTTGGGCAGGGCCTGTGGTGAGGTGTGTTGAAGGCCTAGATGATTTTCTTTGTTTAATGCAGTTTATATTGAAAATAAGCACTCATTTATCACTACATCTCATGTTTCAGCTGGGAAGTTTGACCAATATAACTGTTTATATTGCAAATGTTTGCCTACCACAAAACCAGTGAAAACCATCAAGACCCTGGCCAGCTTTACACCTCCTGCTTAAAAGTATTCCAAGAACAACAAAACTAAAAATAGTCATGGCAAGAAGTGATCTATGTTAACAACAAAAGCCAGCACAAAACTAAAGGAATAGGGCTTAGAAACAGCAGAAACGTGAGGTAACAAAAGTTGCAAACACACAGCTCAAGAGCCTGAAGAGACAGAACTTCACATACTGAATCTGTCCAACACAGAACACGTAAGAGCTCTCATCTTCCTGTCCCAGTGTGCTTCAGGAGCAGCACCAGGATTTGCAAGTGAGCAGCAAAGTGTAACACATGGATTAGGTATCTTCACAAAGAACATGGCCATGGTCCTTACTGGCCAGTCCTCATATCTGATGATTTCTCCCTTGGAGACAAACTTTTTTCTCCCTTGGACTGTGGCCTTCTAAAAAACATGATTTCTGAGAAAGAAACAGAATTTCTTCTACAAATCTGCCAGTCTTTTTAAAAAATGCATCAGTCAAAAAAGAAAACAAAAAGCATTAAAGGAAATAATTCTATAAGCTGTTTATATAAACAGGTAAAAAGAATTTTTCTATAGAACAAATTAAACATCACAAACTAAATAAGCATTTAGAAGTATTCTATGGTCTGTGCCCCCTCTAGTTCTGAAGGAAGCATGGTCTTAAGTTACTGAGTACTAAGGACTGCCTGACTACAGAGAGAGAAAGAAAAAAGAGTGTAATCTTCTTGTCAAGGTTCGCAGTTTTAAGAATCTTCCAACTTCAACAAGGACAATCATCCAAGTTAATTTCAAAACATCACATAAAAGCTGTCAATGATTATGACATCTTTCCTTTCTTTAACACCAACAGAACTTCCAATCTCAATATCCTACTTAATCATGTAACATAAAGGCCAACAAATTAAAGGCTAGCAAGTCCTGTAACAGATTCACTAAACCATCCCACCACCCTTGTACAGTCTTCTTCATCATGGTCAGTTTTAAGTCACTCAGCTTATCAAAACTGGATGAAAAGAGTCACAGTGATTGCTTTAGGATTATGGAGGAAAAACTTCAACTTGAAAAACCTCAAAAGGGTATAAACCACATGACTACACAGAATCATAGTCTGCATAGTGCCCACATGAATATCTTTACTGGGTTTTAACCAGGTTTCCAAATACTAACAATTCATAACTCTTGCTGGGGACAGGGAGGTTGTCAAAGGAGGGAAGATGCAGCTAGCTGACAAATTCACTTGGATTCATTGAATTGTCTACTGGTAGTATTGTTTACTAGTCTTTCAGACATATATATATCATAGTAATTAACACACATACACTTGGGAGCATCCATTTCTCCCCTTTCTCCACAAAGTTTTTGATTTTGCTTGACATAATCATTTCTTCTCTTTCCCTCTCAACACTGAAAAATAGCTGTGTCTCTCATTATTGCCATATCAAAGTCCCATTCTGTTACTCCTAACTCTGCCAAACGCGAGGTCGCACTAACGCACTGGGTGGAAATAAGAGAACACAATAAAAGCCAGCAGCCAAACGCTGCTGCTGCCGTCGCACAACTTGCTGATGATATTGCTGCTGACAAGCTCGGTGCGTGTGGGCAGGACACAGCCAACACGCCCATATACAGCCTACTCCGCCCTCCGGCCAACAGGCAGCATCCGTCATTGACACCGCTGGGGCCACGGAAGCGATTTTTGTGTCTGCATGACACACCATAAGGACCAGCAGGCAGCACTGGCTGCACGAAGGGGGGAGGTCTCGTAACAGGTCCCCGAACTCAACACTCATCAGGGGAGAAAGACAATAGAAACCAGCCTTCCAAGCCATGTCTACCTAAGGAGCTAGGGTGGGGGAGGACAGTAAGGGTATTATGGCGAGGCACCTACGACGAAGGTGCTAAAGCATCTCTGGATGCTGGATATTCAAAATGAAGGAAAATACAAGGGAAGAAGCGAGAGGGTTAAGCCAGCACCTTTCCCACCATCACAGCCCCGACACCACCCTCCTTCGAGCACTAAAAAGGAGAAGCCCCAGACGCTCAAGAGCGGGTGAAGGAGCAAGCCAGCGTGCGGCAGGGAAGGGATCAGGATGCTTTCCTCACCAAGCAGGAGGACGTTCTTCCCCGAAGGTAGCTTAGAGCGGGACCGCGTGGACACCTCACTGAGGATGCACGACCTGGCGCAGAAAGAAGACAACGCTTAGGAGGGCGCTGCCGGGGGTTCCCATCCCACCACCTGCGGGGTGGGCACAGGAGAAGGGGGGGGGGGGGGGCACAGCAGGAGCTGCCACCACCAAGGGGAGGAGCCCCTCCTGCCCCTCAGCTCAGAGACTGAGAGGGGCCGAGCGCCAGCAGGGGGGATTAACCACCCCACCTCCCACCTCCCCCGGAGGGCAAGGAGTCGCGCCGACGGCGGTAAAGCCAGCTGCCCAACCACGGGGCGGGCGGTTACCAGAGGTTCTGCCCATCGTCCTCATCGCAGCCTGCCCGCAGCTCCGCGTTGTTGTTGTTGGTCGTGGCCGTAGTGGCTGACGAAGAGGCAGAAAAACCGGCAACTGAACCGAGCCCGGAGGAAGAGGAGCCGAAAGAACCAGCTCTCCCCACCGTCGCCGCCATCTTCGCTGGCTCCTCCCCGCCCCTCTGCCTCCCTGAGACACGGAGCGAGGGACGGCGCCGCGGCGGCTGACAGGAACCCGGATGTTGGGAGGGCGAGGGGCGGAGTCCCATGCTCGAGCGATTCCGCTTACACCATCCCCTCTGAGAGCTTTGCGGTTGAGTTAGGGGTTCGTTCTTGCCAGCCGCCCCGGGAGAGGGGGAGCAGGAGCGAAAGGGGGTGCGTGCTTGTGCTTCCGGTTGTCTGCAGTGCGAGTCCCAGGCCCTGCAGGAAGGGCCGTCCCGTCCCGTCCCGTCCTGTCCTGGTGGAGCGAGGGGAGAAGCGGTCGTTGTCCGCCTTTGCGCCGGTTGCCGCGGTGAGGTGGTGTGGGTAGAGTGCCCTCCGTTCCCTAGGCAGCCGCAGCCCTAGAGGAGGCACCTCGCATCCAGGGCAGTAAGTGCGGCTGGGGGCGAGATGTGCATTTTGGGGAGGACAGGGGTGTCCTCTCTTCTCCGGGAGGCCTTCTATTACTTGTTCTCTCACAAGTGTAGTTTTAGAGCTGGGAGAAGATGGGTCAAATGGCTATCGTTTTCACAACTCGATTCCTGCTAGAAGTCCAAAAGAAGCAAGCAAGCAAGCATGTCAACTCTTTTTCCTTAATTTACAGAGGTAACATGTTTGCTAGGGTAGCACATGAGCACCTTTAAATGCTTTAAAAACTCCATGGGCGAGTTTACCCCTTCGGTTCAGGAAAAAGCTAACACAATGGGTGCTTCCTTGTGTACATCCTTTCTAACAAAGGAGGAACGTTCCCAGAGTCCCTGGATATACAGAAAGGTAGTGTCAGTATTAACAGTTTCTGTATGTCAGCAGTTCCTACTTGCAGGTTTTTTCTTGCTCCTGCATTTATTTATTTATTCAGAAAAGACTGCTTTTAAAGTAGTATTTTAAAGCAGGATTTTTTTTAATTATTATTTTTAAATCTACGTGTTTCTCTCAATGGCTTTCTGTTGCTTTGCAGCCCAAACCAAAGACGTTCCTTTCATGTGTTGTTTTAGGTAGAGATCAGTTGTTGGAATTTGTAGGTCGCCAGTCATGAAAGTAAATTTTGGTGCCATGTACTGAATTACAGATACTTGTCATAACAGAGGCACAGGTCCATAACAGAGTTATTGGACCAAAGTATTTTGTTTTGGACAGACAGCAGCTGCAGAAAACTGTCAAAGTTTTGGTGGAGATGTGTCATCCAGTAAACAGTTTTAACTAGATAGAGGAATGTTGCTGAAAAGCCACCAGGAAAAAAGCATTTGCTGCATGCTTCTGCAAGGCCTTCTTGTGGCCTGCTGTGAACTCCCTTCTTCTGTTATCTCTGGGTTTTATCACTCTCAGATCAACTGATTTAAATCACTCTAATAGCAGAAAATTGATTACTGGCATGGTAGAAGATCTCTTCCAGTTTAGTGAGTTGAATCAGCTTGTGGAAAAGGGTTCGATGAATGGCAGAGCCGGAACACAGGGTGTGGAACAGAACTGACCAGAGAGTAAGGAGAGAAGGAAGAGCAGGAGGAATTTGAATTTGGAAAGCAACGAGATGGGAATGCCATTTCAGTGACAGTAAACAGTTAGGTCAGCTCAGTTGCAGGTCAAGTTGAAGTTCTCAGAGAAAGGAAAAACTGAACTTAAAGCCCCAGCAGATTCTATAGTACATTTTCTAACTGAAACAAGTTTGAAGAGTCTACACTTTAGCAACCTTCTTCAGTCAAAAAGGATTACATTGGTTTTAACACAATCATAGAAATAGATTGCTATTTATCCTGATGTGTGGTCTTGAGATTTTTTGTGAAGCCTTTCTAAAAATCTCTAAAATTCAGTGAATTAGCTTTTAGCACCTCACTCCAGAGGCACTAAAAATAACAAGAGTGTTGAACTATTTCATGTTACTTATTATTTTAATACTCCATATCGTATTGTTGGCACGTGAGTTATATAAACTTGAGGTATGTAAATTATATTCCCTTACATATTTTTTGAAACCAGAATGTGTATATGATAATTATAAATTATTATAATAATTTATATATAATTAAGTAAATAATAATGTGAAAGTTGTAGAAAATAAAAGGCTACCTGGAAAAACAATAACAGCATGTTGCTTTGTGCTTAATAGGGAACATGCTGATTTTGAGAAAAATGGTGCAGTTTTCCTGCTTTTCTGCTTTTATAGAGGCTAATGCCGAGTTGGGAAAAAAAAAAAATCATATATATATATGGTGATTGTAAGTCTACCGAAGATTATTCACAATGAGAGACAGACCACCTCTTTTCTTTCTCCCCTCCTTCTTTCCCTGACATCCATTCACTCTGTAGTCTTTTTAAGGTGGCTTTCGCTGTCTCATGCTCTTGTAATGGAGGATTTTGCTGTGTCCCTTTGAAAGAGGTGTGCACAGTCAAAATTCTCTGAGGATTCACTTACCAGCTTGTCACTTCTAATGATGCTTGTGTAGTATATTTGCTACCTTTACCAGAAGCAATCCCTCCCTCCTGTTCTGCCTCCTCTCTATTTCATTTCTGTCTCGGGAGCTGCAGAGGAGAAGGTGAAAATGGAAATGCTTGGTAGTCATACTCTCGGATTAGGTTAAAGAATCAAAATGGAAACAAAAATGTTGAGAAAATCAAGTCTTCATCAACTTCAGTATGCTGCTACAGTATCTCGATTGAATTATTTATAGAGTTAGCTGTGCAGCATTATAGGAAGAGGAAATTAAGGAAAAGCCTGTAATGAAGATGAAGTAAATCTAAAAAAGGGGAGAGGGAATCAATAAGACATGCTTTCCTTTCCTGTGAAATAATTTTCTGTCTGGCAAAGTGATCTTGTGAATATATGGGAACAACATTCCACACAGCTTTTTCCGAAAGGTAGCTGAGGACAGGAACTGATGTTAACGGTACCTAGCAAACATAAAAGCCTCATTTTCTCCTACCTCATTCAACTTTTAGCTGTTTATCCAGACTATCAAATTGTAAGTTTTGAAGTTATAAGTTTGAACTGTGTTTTCTTACCTAAAATTACCATTTTGATTTTATAGTATCTTGCAACAAGTCACTGTTACCCTTGCAGAGTAGGTATGACTATAAAAAACAAATGAAGATAATGAAAAATCAGGTCCATCAACTATGATGTTTCAGCTGTTGATTGTTAGCAAGTTTTAACTTGAAAAAGTATTGCCAGTGGCTTAACTATGCATAAATAATGGCAACCTATGACGTGTCATTGGTAAAATAATGTCATTTACTAATACAAGCAAGATTCACATCCTTCTGTGAGCTGCCGCGGGGTGATGGCAAAGTGCAGACCCCAAGAGGGAGTTGGTTTTGTAGCTGTGAGCTTGCTATGCCATGCTGACCAAGAAAGGACCAGCACCTCCTGTGCACAGCGGGCTAGTGATTGTAGGAATGGACTCTTGGTTTCTCTCATATTCTGTGCCTTTTCAGTTTCTGATGTGCTTTGATTATTCCGTACCCCCTCTGCTTGTTCTTAACAGGAGGCTCCTTGTTGGCTGTCTCTTTTCACATAAAAACTTTTGTCTGAATTAGCATTGTATGAAATCCAAAAAGTAATGGGCCAGCTTCTCTGCATTTATTGTCAATGGCTAAATACTGTAAAATTGGTTATGAATTTAGAATGCATTTTTGTCATAAGCCTATGGAAATGATTTGTTATATTCAATTACATTTAAAAGATCCATTTTGGATTGTTAGAGAAGTTTTGCCTTAGCAGTGTTGACCTTCTGTTGAAACCAAAATCATAAAGGTCACAGTGCTCAATACACAGCAGTAGTTCACGGTGCAGAAAGCATCTCTTTGAAAAGGCAGAAATGAAAAAGTAGAATACCTAAAATTTCCGACAGGATGTTTTGTTGCCTTTGGCTGTAGTTTATAAAAAGTACAAAAATAAACCTTAGAAAGAGAAAAAGTGATTTGTCATTATTTGAATTTATTTGCAATCAATATCGAGAAAGCATTCCTGAAGACGGGAATGACTTTTGGAAGTGTTTTTAATAATATCAACAGCTACAACACTTCTATCAACAACACTTCTACGTTTATTTTCTACATACTGTGCTGTAAATTTTTAAGAATGTGCAGGGCTAACTGATTTTATGAAGCAGAGTATTATGGCTTGCTGCAAAAAAGATAAAGACTGTTTCATTTCAGATACAATGTTTTATTTCTTCAAACTAAATTTGTTACCATTCTGCAGCAGAACACCATAACGTGTGTAAGTACACCCTGAAATTTACTTGGAAGCAATAGAATTTAAGATGTTCTTTACCTGTCTGGCTGATGATTAAAAGTATGTGCTTGCTGTGCATTTATAGAGATAAGGATGTTGTGTGGGACAGTGTCAAATGCTTTGCACAAGTCCAGGTATATGATGTCAGTTGCTCTTCTCTTATCTACCAATGCTGTGGCCCTACTGGGACCAAACTGGTCAGGCACAATTTGCCCTTTGTGAATGCATGTTGGCTGTCACCAGTCACCCCTCTTATTGTGCTTGTGACTTAGCATAGTTTCCAGGAGTATCTGCTCCGTGATCTTGCTGGGTACTGGGGTGAGACTGACTGGGTCTTCCTTGTTTCCCTTTTTAAAAATGAGGGTTATATTTCCCCTTTTCCAGTCAGGAAAATGAGAGTATTCATAGAGGCAGTTAATGAGTATCTACAAAAGTGCAAATGTGTACTCAGGCTACCTTGCAATAATTAATGTAAATGTGAAACATGCTCTTCTAAGATGGGGCTGCCACACCATCACCTAACTACTCTGTTGTGTGGTCTGAGAATCTTATCTGCAGGACATGGTTTCTAATTGGTCATTTCCCTCAGGCCTAGTCATTGGGTGGTATTTCCAAACCTATAAAATCCTTGAAAGGGGGTAGTGTTTCAAAGTTTGGAGTCCTCCTTTGACACAAAGCATTTTTAGCTGCCAATTAAGTAAACATTCTAGAGGGCTTAACTTGGAAAAAACTATTCTAATTATGTGAGTATTGTATTAAATATATTGGGTTTAGGTTTCTATCTTCTCAGTGATTTAATGATCTTAAGACCTACTCCCATTCTATCCTAGCTGTTCATGGGAGACATTTTGTTACAGGTTTTGCTACTTGCCAAAAGACATCTCTACTTTCGGCTTGCTATCTGTTAAAAATTAAAAACTTTGGAGTATGTTTTAGTTATTAACACAAGCTAGTGTGATTCCCTCCATCTTTCTCTTCAAACTCCAGTCATTGAAGGTCTACAGAGTTCAGATACGTGTGTGTGTGTGTATATATATATATATATATATGCACGCTTCCTTAAACTAGTAGGTTAGAAACTGATATTTTAACTAAGTAATATGTGGTTTTGTATGTTGGAGGAGGATATTCTCTTCCATATTTCTCTTTCTGTGAATTG